TTCATACATGTTTATTTATGAAGATTAATAAAAAGAGCCGACCTTTTATATTTTAAAACATAATTGGCAAAAAAGAAAAAAAATGATTAGAATGAAAGTTTAGATTTAATAAAAAAAAAAAAAAAAAAAAAGGAACAGAAAGAATAAAGTGCAAAAAGGAGTGATGATCAAACTAACAGAAAAGAAGAGGCTAGACAGTAACATACTATAGTCCCAGCTAGCTAAGTCAAAAGTGAGAGAAAGGAAGTGATCACTTACAAATCTCACCTTTCTTTTTGTTTTTTCCTTTTTTTTTTTTATTTTATAATTATTATTATTATTTTTTTATAACGTAAAAGCTAAAATAACAAGGAGTGCTCTACTTAGATTTTTTATGCTCTTGCTATTCAAGTTCTGTTCATGTTATTATTAGTGTTTCAAAACAAACAAAAAAAATGTGCATGTTATTAGTATCATACCTCTAACATTATCCGTACTATTTTCCACCTTTTTTTTAGTTTAATACTAATACTATGGTCTATATATGGACTAATGGAGTAAATTAATTGGATATTAGTTGCTTTCAAATTAAATTAATTGGAGCTTAGTTGCTTTCAAATTAAAATTCACACTCCGTACCTCGTATGTATGTACTATATATGTAGTAATTGTAGAACATATATTCCTAATTTCCTACTAGTATAGTTGTATAAAGAATTAAAGAGGTTACTCGTTTCATGTATAATAGAGGATATCATTCATCCAGTAAAGGATATTATCTAGCTAGTAGAGGATATCATCCAGCCAATAGAGAGTATCATCCAACAAATAGAGAATATGATCCAACTAATTAAAATCCGCATTTCGTCAGTCCTGACGCAATAGTTTGTGTATCAGTGTATATATATAAACAAGTACTCCCTCCCTTTTTTTTTAAATACACCACTTTGATTTTTGCACTATTCACATATCATGAATGACTTAATTTTTTTACCTTTATAAAATAAATAAATGAGTTACCTAACAAATGAGTTACTCAAAATTTGATGTAGGGAATACACATTATGCACCACAGTAATATGAAGTATGAAGGAGACAGTTCAATAATAAGAGTTGCTGGGAGTTTGGTGCTCTAAATTTGGAAAAATGTTATTTGTGCAAAACTTATCAAAGTAAAATGCTTAGCGTGATGCTACAGTATAGATGCAACTTGGACCTCCTCATACCCAATGTAAAATAATTTTCACTTTAAATTGACTAAATGAGGGGTTGGTGAGATTTGAACCTACTTATGATATTTGTGTCACGTTATTTGATCGATTATTCGTATGTCATGTTAAAGAACAAATTTGACTAAAAAGTTAAGTCGATGATTGAGATCAAAGATTATGTTTCATACTTTATCATATGGTGTTGCTTATTAGCTAGCTTCTGACTAGTTAGGGTCGTTGGGAAGACAAGTGCTAATTCCTTTTCCGAAAAATCTAGAAGGCCGGCTAAACATGCATAAATAACTTAAGTTAGACTTTACATGTATGGAGACTACAGTATGTTTCCCTATTAATTAAAAAAAAAAAAACCTATAAATGTCAAAGGACCAACACAATCTAAATTTAAACAGATGGTTAAAGCATAAGATTTGTTTATTTATATGTTATCACGTCCTCTCAAATTAAATCTTACGAATTAAAATATGGATGTAATTATATGGGTCACCCCACAGCCTTTAATCGATATACTACTTTGATAGGAAAATAATTATTTGAGTTGGTAGTTGAAGTTCATGATTGATTTTTATACTATATACCTCGTATTATATCTATCAATATACTTGGCTAGAAACCGATGGAATATCCATTAAGTTAATCAAGTGCACGATTTATTTTGTGCGGCTAGTCACACCGTCACATCGTGTATCCGCTTGTAAAAAAAATGAAGTAACCCATATAAAACTGACAAAGTAACTTATATTATGCTAATAGAGTTTGGTGTAATCCTCATTAGCATAAAAAAAATTATATATATATATATATATTATGCTAATAGAGTTAACCCCTATATTACTAATTAAGTAACTTAGTTGTATAAAAGTGAGACTAACCAATACGATAAACTTTAATGATTTAACATATTATCTTACAAGTGCGTTGAGATGATCGATTGTAGAATATTAATTTGTGATGCCCTTTCAAATATTTTAGAAGTCTCCTTCCTATAAACTATTAATAAGGAGTACTAATTATTCATTAATGGTGTACCAAATTCTATAAGGTAGTCCTGTACTGAATTATTTGTAACAAATCAATATAATAAATTCAGAAAATATACTAACTAATTCATGCTGTTATCAAACAAATCGAAGAAAATACGCAATTCAGTAAGTTTGGTGAAGAACATAAACACCAAATATTATAAATGGACGAATGGGGTACCCCTCTACAACGTAAGAAAATTTGGAAATCCTGGAAAGTTAGAGTGACATAAACATTTTACTCAATATTGGGAAACTTTTGGATACATGCAATGTGAAAACCATTATATAGTGTTGTAGTGAGAAATAATTGTGAGAATATAATGACTTTAATCCTCGTCCAAAAAAAATAATAATTAAATAAATAAATAAATAAAATAACGGCTTTAATCATATTAAGGGCCTATTCTCATTGACAGAACTGAACTGAACTGAATTGAGCTGAACTGAACTAAATTGAACTGAGCTGAGCTGAACTGATCTGAACTGAACTGAATATTTTACAGGAGAAGGAAATTAGGAGCTGAGCTAAACTGAACTGAACTGAAATGAGCTGAACTGAATTTTAACGTAAGAGAATATACCATAATTAGTGAATATATTTAGGACGAACTATGGAATAACATTTGACCAAAAAGTTGGAAGAAGCCTAAATTCCAAACAATCAAATGCGGAGTAGACATTAATGTGAGTCAAGGAATTCTCTTCCATTCTTCTCCACTAAAGCAGGCTAATGTACATAACAAGTAAAAATAATGACTTGTAAACTAACATACTTGTATTAAAGTTGAGTGTATAAATATTTGAATTTAATTTGACTATTCCACTTAATATTATCTACATTTTTAATAATTTATTGAGTTAAAGAATCACAACGGATCATCCAAGATCAAAAAAAGAATACTTTATATATGCAAGAATGATATATGATTATAATGATAATAAAATGATGAGTGGCATGCCTTAAAAATTCATGCTTTCATTTCACGAGGAGCGAGCAACCTCACGGCTATCATACCACAGTGTCACACCTGCAAACTTAGGAATAATATATGTGGAGTACCATGTATTTAGTATTTACCACCCTAAGCTAAGCCACTCTATACTCGGCAGAGCCTAGCTAGACTATAATACGGTCATGTAGATCATGACTTGCGAGCAGTATATATATATATATATATATATATATATATATATATATATATATATATATATATATATATATATAGATCATGACTCGTGAGTATACTCGGCAGAGCCTAGCTAGACTATAATATGGTCATGTAGATCATGACTCGCGAGTAGGGATGTTAATGAGTATCACTAGTTTTCAATATATATATATATATATATATATATATATATATATATATATATATATATATATATATGCTCAAATTATTTTCATTTAGACACAAATAGCAAAGTGAGTCAAACATTATTGTTGACCGGAGGTCGCTAACTAGCTTATTAAATAGCTTAGCATAGGGCTTATGATTAAACTTCATTCCTTTACATCCTTCCTTGGCCTTTAATGAGAGTTAAACTTGCATTGTTATATCAAGTTATTAGTAAATCTCATCTCATGTTATAATTTTTTTAACCGTAGCACAAATTAGAATTATATAATATAGTCAACGTAATTTATCTCATGCAAAGAAAGCAAAGAGCATAGGATTAGCATAAGAGGAAGAGCCATAACAGCTAGCCAATATCAGCATGCCTTAGTATATTGTGTGTGTGAGAGATGATTAAATAATAAAAATGTATGTAGGCCTAAATAAAAGGCTAATTAAGGAGCAGGCTTAATTGTGTAAATAGTAATTATGGTTGAAGGTATAAATGTTGTAGTTAGGCTGTCTTTGTCGCACTAATAAAGTAATTATGTGGTTTGTTTTCACGTGTAAGCATGGATTGAACGACAAATTACATGCTTATTGATTAAATCTTTACTCCTTTGGGTTATTTGTTTGATCAACATCGATATTCGATATGCAAAGTCTAAGCCTATCTATTAAATTTTAAATAGTGACTTCCAAGATAACATAGTGTCTCTAAATTTTTATTATGCATTGGTTTTGGAAGTTGTATTTAATTTTGATAGTGTAATGGTATATGATCTAGTCTAATACATGCACAAGTTACACAATTTAACTATTTTTTGAGGTTCATCCAAGGATAATCACCCTGATGATAAAGTTATTGAAAACGAGATATTAGTATCAAAGATAATTTGAGTACTTGAAAATAGATAAAGTCGTAACTTGAAAATGTGAGATGATGGGGATTATTTATCAAATACCCATAACAAATGAATCATCCGATACCACATGTCCACATGGAGACTTGTCAAGTGGCAACCCCCCTTGTCCATGTGGCCAAAGGTAACAGTCCACGTAGATGATGGATATAGGCTGGTAAGGATAAAGGCCAATAGTGAAATAAAGCCCTTAGTCACTGATTTGGCCCATTACCTTGGTCATATTGGTGGCCTTTGTTAAAAGACCAACTCAACTAAAATTTTAAGCTTGTAGTTGAAAAACATAAGGAAAGAAGAGTAGAATATTTATACTCTTTGTAATATGCACACCCAAATTATACTTGAATACATACTCAAATTCTTCATTCATATATAATAGTGTCTAAGTAACATATAATATTATCCATGTCAGGTTGAAACATTTTTCTCTTTTTTCAAGGTAACATGACTAAAATTGTTATTAATGGCTTTACTGAGAAAACTGCCGATACATTATGGAGTTTTACCATCTAGAAAAATAAAATGTATTCCCATTTCAATTCTACTTGAGTAAAACTCTTAATTTCATTTATGGAAATCGTTCTCAAAAAAATTTCCATCACACAACCATACATGTTTTACAAACCTAATTCCTACAAGTGTCGCGATTCGCCAAAGACAAGCTACTTGGTAACGGGTCTGGGTCTTGGGCTGGAGCCTCCACCTAAACCATTTTGACGTTGGGCCGGAGAAGGGTGATAACTATGGGGCCTTTTGGTCTTAGAAGAACCGGGCTTGGAGCCTTTTGGGTTCATCCTAATGGTACTTATCCTTTCTAATATTATAACGACCTCGGACATCGGTGGCCTGTTTTTTGGATCGTTTTGAAGACATCTTAATATGAGTTGGGCCAACTTGTTTGCACCTTCGGGTGGGTAATCGTCCATTCTTGGGTCAATTATCTTCTTCACTTTGGACTTTTCACTTAGCATGGGCTTGTACCAGTCCACTAAGCTTGTCTGTCCAGTGGGCCTGTTTAAGTCGTAGGCTCTAAAGCCCGTTAATATCTCCAATAATACAACTCCAAAGCCGTACACGTCACTCCTTACGTATAAGTGACCTACACAACGTAATTCAACATTAAACATCAATTATGTTTTTTCAAGAAAATTAACATGTTTAAGTTGATTATGTTGGTCCATGGTATAAAAAGACAAACAATATTGAGGCTATACTATTTCTTGAGAAACAATAATTGTGTTGTTTCTTTCCAAAAAACTAATATTTCGTCTGTCTTACTATATTCAAACTTGTTGACATTTTGTTATGAGTTATGATAAACTAACATCATATTGTGTTAAGCATATTTCGTGTATAGCTCATTGGCCGTAGTTATGAGCCTGTATATCTTTAGGTTGTATATATACTTGTGCATGGTATTAGAGCGTCTATACTCTAAACCCTAAAATTCTGAAATTTTTTCTCTAATGGTAAAGTTTGTATCTTACAATCATGAGTTTGTGGAATCAAATTCCACTAGAGACACTTTGGGATGGAGATTCCCTTACCCTTCCCCCTACTTCCAAAATGTCTTACTCGATAACCTGAATTGAAAGGACCTATGAGAGGTTTTGATCCGATAGAAAATATCACCTCTCTCGTACAAAGGGAGGATTGTACAACAATTATAGAATTAAGAAGTAGAAACATTATGATAATAGTATAAACTTTTTCACTAGTAAAGAAAGAAAAAAAAAAACAAGGATATTGGTTAATGAGTAATGACCAGTATTGGTTAATTATGATAATAATATTATAAACTTTATTTAGTAAAGAAAGAAGGATATTTGGTTAATTACCAGTATTAATATATTCTGGAGCAGCATAACCAAACGTGCCCACAGCTTGGGTGGTGACATGAGATTTATCAACCGGTGGGCCTATTCTTGCAAGACCAAAGTCTGAAAGCTTCGCTCCAAAATTCTGAGTCAAATACACGGAACATTCAAACCATATTATTATTATTTGATTTAGTACATTTTATAATTATTAAGATCAAGATCACGAATCTAATTTCTTTCACTTTTATATATACCTTAAAATAACATTATAGCAGTAGAGGTTAAGTGTTTTTTTAAAAATTATTGGTAAATGGTAAGGAGAAGGTCCATCTTAGGGGCACTTAGAATGTGTTTGATAAGGTTCGGCCCTCCAACCCCTCTTAATTTCACGCTTAAAAGTTACGGAGTAGAAGTTAGTAAACGAGCTCTAAAAACTGGCCTATAAAAAAGGTAAATTAGTACATACCTCATCTAACAAAATGTTAGCAGCTTTGAAATCTCGATAAATAACAGTATTCTCTGATGTATGCAAGAAATCAAGGCCTCGAGCTGCGTCCAATGCTATGTTTATTCTTGTTGTCCATGATGGAGGCTCTACTTTGTCTGTACAGTATAAATAACTCTATATAAGATTTTTTTTGTTTAGTAGGCCAAATTTGTCGACAGTTTATAATCCATCCAATTTACATTTTGAATTGTTTTATATCTTAAGGCTCTAATTGATATGACATAAAACATTTTCAATGAAAAATGAGCTAAGTTTATAATAATTGGGTTTAACTAATTTCTAGAAACTTAAAGAATAGCCGTACATATGGGAAAAAAAGAAGAAGAAGAAGTGAATGCTTACTTTGAAAAAGATGGTTTTCAAGACTTCCTTTATTTAAGTGCTCATATACAAGAAGAAGCTCCTTATCTTCCCAGCAATAACCAATTAATTTCACAAGGTTTGGGTGTGAAAACTTCCCCAAGAAATTGACCTCTGTCTGCATCACCAATGAATAAACAATGTTCATGAATTAGATGTTATACAAACTGAATTTTATATACTTATATATAATGTAGAAGAACGAAACATTATCAACTACGGATTAATATATACCAAAAAAAAAAAAAAAAAAAAATCTACTCATATTTGAAGGTCTATAATTTACAAATTCAATATATATATATATATATATATATATATATATATATATATATATATATATATATATATATATATATATATATATATATATATATATATATATATATATAGGTCTTGTTTGGCAAATGGCTGTTAGCGGTTGACTGTTGGCTAGTTCACCTGGCTTGTTCTGAAATGTTTGGTTGTTTATTAATGGCTTTTGAAATTGACTGTTTATAAAAGTGTTTGGTAAATTAATTGTTTGTTGTTGACTGTTTATTAGATAATTTGTGGGCCAAAAACCAACAAAAAAGCTACTCAAAGCAGCTTTTTCATTTTGGCTTAAAAACTAGTTTTTTCGCGGACTAAAAAGCCAATTACCAAACACATTTTTTGGCTGTTTGACCACCTAAAAAAGCCAAAAGCTAACCAAAAAGCCATTAAAAAGCCAATTATCAAACATGGCCATACTTTGTATGTCATTTTATTAATTTAAGATGTTACTAATCTATTAATATTTAGTTAATGGTTATTTTTTTCCATAAAAAAAAATAAATAACTGTTTTTTTGAGGAAAAAATAAATAAATAACTTAATACATAAATTAATGATATAATAATATTTAGATAACGCTTTTTTTTTCCGTCAAAAATAAATAAATAAACTTAAATCTTATTTTTCCTATTCGACAAAATTGTAACGTCGTGCCTTAATATATTGCAGTTGGAAATGAAATTATAAGAGCAGGCGAGAATATGTATGGTAGACTGGCCTGGCGTACCAAATATATTAAGTAGTGGAGAGCACTAATTAATATATATAATGCTCCTATTACATAGTTTAATCTATATTTATATATTTATAATGTCAGCATGTTATTTAGCATGCATAATTCTTTATTAGAGGAGGCAGAGTAAGTAGCCAACGTACGAGTAATATTCGTATATTTATAATGTCTGGTTGATCTATAACTACGTTACGAACGTGTTTATTTAGTTGCTTGGTTTTGGGTTTCTTGTCCTAGTTTGTCCACGACTCCTCTTCAAGACCCCAACCACCATGCACCCACAAAAAGATCGACTATCTAGCTGGCCAAATCCCGTATTAGTAAACATAATTCAGATTAACAGGCTAACTACTTTGAGAGCGATATAAATAAAAAATGTTTAGGCCATGTTTAGTTAACCTTATTTTTAATCAAATCTGATACATATACAATTGTGACTTAGCTCATCTATGTTTGGTGAATGAAGACACCATATTAGAATCACCCCTATATTAAATCTCTATGAAATACAAGTACATAAAGATCTAGTCCGATACAAAAGTATTATACTAGTATAAGTTTCGACCCGAGGTCTCTAGCCTAGAAGTAGAATGGGCCAATGTAGTCATTGCTCCAAATCTCCAATCTCTGCCTTCTATATTAGTATTTGATATCCACCATATACAATTATTCACCTTGAATAATGTTGGACAACTTGTCCCGAAAGCAATGCTAGAAATGTGCAGTGTATATTATAAACTAACTAGTGTTACACTAATATGTATGAAACACTACTACTTCGTATTATTAGTTGGCCCTTTGACTTTCTCATTCAAAAAATGAAATGATAATTGTAAGTCCACTAATACAAGAGTGTACCACGTCCACTAGCACCGTAGAGAACGACATTTTGACTAGTATGAGAGGAAAGTCAGTCCACTTAGCTACATTTTCAAGCATATATATGTGACTAAATGCTTTAATTTTTGCTGAAATTTCAAACTAACTTCATTCGTTTGGAATCCTTTCCACTCTTAGTATGGAATAGTGGAATACAATTAAATGTTAAATCTAGATTGGTGATAACTAATAGTAGAATGAGCATGGGTCGGGTATCCGTACCGTTAAAACTATCGATTCGGGTACTCGATAACCAATAATACTAAAAATGATATCCATTACCCGAATCAATAAGTTTTTTAGGATCGGTTATCGGGTATCCAATATGATATCCAATAATGAAAATTTAGACTTTATAATATAGTTATTATGATATCATCATTCAACACTAATCAACAATAATACGACATGACCATGACCAGATTACTAATAATTACTAATCATTTAAATTATGAAATGATTATGAAGTAAAGTAAGAATTTAGATTTTGGATAAATAGAATAGTAGAAAAAAAAAAATTGCTTATCGAATCGGGTAACCATTAATTTTAGAATGATACCCAATAATCGTACTCAATAACAAATTATCGGATCGGTTACCCAAACCGTTATGGTTATCGGAACGGATACTCTAATTTTCGGCTCGATTACGATTCGGGTTTTCGGATAATTTTGCTCAGCCTGATCTAATACAAGTAACTAATAAGGCTAACAATTGCCAGTATGACAGAGATTTTTTTTTTTAAAAAAAATATTTCGTAATATGTACTACCTCCGTTACAGGTTATATGCAATGATTAGACGTTTTTCCTCTTTGCTTTATGTCAAATCGTTGCACATAACTTATAACGGAGGTAGTATTAATTTGTAATTGAGGTAATATTAATGTTTATTGTTGTTCACCCTTTAGTTCTTTTGTTTTTTAATGTACTCTCTATATATGAAAAATTGTCATGGTTGACTAATCAAAATTATTGACATATAGTAAAAGGATTACATTAGACATTGATGCTTGCTTGAACTTAATAAGAAATCAATTTTAATCAACTAAATTTTTACAAAAATAAAATAAAATTGATCAGTCTAAGGGTGTGTTCAGCTTAATTTCAATTCATTTCAGTTTAGTTCAGTTTAGCTCCTATCAGTTCAGTTCTCAATATCCTTTTCTCATAAACAATTCATTTCAGTTCAGTTTAGTTTAGTTCAGCCCTAATCAATTCAATTCAGTTCAGTTCAATTTAGTTGTATTCATTAAATTGGAACAAACCCTAAGGCTACATTTGATTTGCCTTACTTATTAAGCAAATAAGTGTTACTTTAGAACATTTGGACTAAAGCAAACCAATGAAATTAGAGTAGAACATACTATATCATTTGTCTAATCCTCCTATTATTTTCTTGGCAACTAAAGAACCTTGTGTTGCTGGTAAGAGAAGCAAATATTATTGAACTATTCAACACATGAAAGTATTGTTGACAACTTCAAATTGACAAATTCATTAGTTTCACACTGTAGTGCAACTGGCTACTTCGTTTTTAGGTTGGCAGGGTGATTGTTTTGTCATTTTGTGAACTCAGTTTAACGATTTGCACGTTTTTTATGTTGAAAGATTTTGAGGAAATCTTGAACAGTTGATTTCAAGCTACATAATGAGAACCGATGAGAAATGACATACTTTCTAAATAATTATTTCATATAATTAACTATTTTTTTTTGAGTTCATATAATGTATTTGAATTTTACTGTCCAGTGTTCATTTTACGAAAATGTGTGAAATATTTTACATGTGGAGTAATAAACTACTTTCTCTGCCCCTTAATACAATGTCTCTTTTTCTTTATTATGTGAGGAATAAATGCTCAAAAGAGACATTGTATTAAGGGACGGAGGGAGTACTAATTACAGAAAAGTGGTATGTTTAGTGTTTTATAACTGAAGAAATTCCATGTAATTATGTATTAGCGATGATTATAGGAAAGTTGATTAGAGGAATAGTATTTATTGTAAAATATACAAGTTGAGAATAATCCAATAAGTATTTCACTAAGACACTTTTTAGTTCATCTTGTTTCCACTTATGTGAAGTTAAAAAGAAGGTAAGATTTACGTAGGGTTATTCAAGTTCAATTTACAACTAAAACAATTTCTAATAATAAGGTGTAATATATATATTTTGAAGTTAAAAACAAGGTAAGATAAGTGCAAATTAAATAAGTTAAATAGGTATATAGAACTAATGCTTATAGTACAATAGTACAACATTTGATGTTACTTGTAAATAAGAAAAGATGGTCAAAATTGATAAAGGTATTTGAATAATGTTAAAATTCAAACAAATGAGAAGTAGATTTAGTACTTTCTATAGACTATAGTTGTAGAAGAGTGTTTTTTTCCATTTTGATTCAAAATTTCCACACTTTAAAAAAAAAGGGACAAAAAGAAGAAAGGAAAACTTACCTTCCATTCTTTTAGACCTTGTGCACTATCAGCATTGCATTTCTTGACTGCAACAGGAATACCAACACCAACTTTAGAAGGTGCCAATGTTGTTTTATCAATCCATCCTTTGTACACCCTCCCAAACCCTCCTTCACCTAACATGGAATCCGGTCTAAAGTTCCTTGTTGCGCTTTTTAATTCTGTAAATGTGTATATTTTCAAGTTTGGTTTTATAATTCGTCCTACCACCGGTCCATGTACTCTTGCTCCACCTCCAACACCATTAACGTTGTTACGCATCATACCTGGATGGTTAAAGTTGTTGAACTCTACATGATCACATATACAAAGTAAAGTTCATGTAAGTTTTAGATACGGTTAAACTATATATGTGAGTATTTTATCATATAAATATTACAGGGATATTTCGTGTAAAATGTTTCAAATAAAAAAGGTCATTCAAGCTTTTTTTTTTTTTTTTTCACCAAAAGATTCACTATGATTATTATGAAAAATTGTCTTGTGAAACAAATTAAAATTCATAACAATAATCACCAAGTTTAAGAAAATTATAAAAACTTAACATGTATGAGCACAGGAAAAACATTAATGCTTCCACCTACAAAATATCTTATTTCAAAATACCAACGTCCACAAAAACTTCAAGGCAAACCAATCAATCATAAAAATAAAAAAGAAAAATAGTGATTTCCAATCATTGGAAATAGGTAAGCCACCATTTTTGACAAAGCCCATACTTTATGATTTTATGAACATATGCACAACATTTTAATATTCATATATTTACATAATCAAAGCTCAAAAGTTACATAAATTATTGATAAATTTGTTTTAATTCCTTTTAATGGTTTAGAAACTAAGGATTAAACTACCACTTATGTCATTTTATCAACATGTTCATATATAAATCATCTTTTTTTTTTTTTCTTTTTTTTTTGGGGGGGTCAACTACACTAAAATCTCATATCATGTAATTGATGATCTTAAAAAAAAAAATGTACCAATTGAAACCAGAGAAAAACAAGAATACAAATAACCAAATTAAAGAAAAAGATATTTAGAGTAATACATGTATTAATTAATGTATATACTAACCTCGAGGATTATTAATAATGGGATTGCTAACTTCTTCTTTAGATCCCCATAAGCAATTCCCCATCTTTGTTTCTTCAAAGATACGGCGAAAATAGCAACTTAAATTAACCAAAATATCGACTTCTTGTAATTATTTTCCTATAATAATACAAGAGTAATGCTCCCCCAAAATCTGATACTAATACTTAAACAAACAAAAAAAAAAAAAAAAAAAAAAAGGAAGCAGAAAAGAAGCAGCAAAAATGAGAAAACTTTACGTTTTGAATATTCGAGGTTCTTTCCTAATATTGATAAAGTCTTCTTTATAATTTTCTTTAATTTACAAATAAAACAAGAACAAGCTTTATTTAATATATGGACTTGTTTTGAGTTTAGATTATAAAGGGAGAAAGAAAATATTGGGGACTTGAAAAAAATTAAGGAGAAGACGTGGAATATAAACAGTTTAAGTGTTGTTGGAGAAGAACAATTATTACTAAGTCAACGAATTTGGTTAGCATGACAATAAAATAAGCTTAGCCTGTTTCAATTGTTGGCACCATATTTTAATATTTCGTAAATATTACTGTATAATGTGTGGACTTGTTTTTATTATACTCGGTACCATTCATCATCTTGTTCATTTATTAACTAGACTCCGTAATAAGGATGAACTTAAGCCGTGTTAGGCACTTCGTAAAAGGAATTTGCTAAACTAGAAGGTAGACCAAGTAAATTAGTAGTTTGACCATTATTCGAAGCAGCTAGTCAAACTTTTTGGTAAATAAATAGCGGTTCCCTTTAGTGAGCGGTTTGGCCTTTGTTAAGCCGGTATATATTGTGTTGTAGTTAGATGGTTAACGGGCTAAGTTTAGGCCCTTGGCTTAGGTTGTATATATACCTTATTAACACTCAATACAAAATAAGAAGGTAGACCAAGTAAATTTGTAGTTTGACCATTATTCGAAGCAGCTAGTTAAACTTTTTGGTAAATGTTTGGGTCCAATTAAGCCTAATTGAGTCTGGTCCATAAATGATTCAATCATTGCCCAAGGTCAAGGTCCAGTCTCCAATCATGCCAAGTCAAAGTCAAGTCAACAACCCAGTCAACGTGGTCGGCCCATTTAACTCCAAACCCATTTCTCCTCATTATGCTAAATTATAAAAGCCTTCAATTGCACCACTTATCATTCATTCACTAATAGCCTCAAGCATTAAATTCTCTTGCATAGCTTTCTCTCTCTAAGCACTTTTTGACTTCGGCATCGGAGGGGCCTTCCTCGGCACAACCCCCGAGGCCAGTTTACGTGATAGTTCCATAATTCCTGGTATGTCAATGAATTTGAGTATTGATTTGCAACTATGAGTAGTGTTTCATGACTTATTATTATGCACATGAGGAGGACGAAGGCGTTCATTCTTTTAGGTAGCCTTCAGAATATTAGATACATTTGTTCCCTTCTTGTTACCCATGTTGTTGCTTGTGCCCTTTTATTGTTTATTTAGCCACGTTACAAGCCTATATGAGCCCCATTGGTTACTAGTCCCAAGCTTGGCTTGGGGGAGCTATTAGTTGGTGAAGTGAGGGAGTTGTGGTGTGCATATTATTGGCACAATGTGGGAATAAAAGAAGAGTTATTGTTCTTTGATTTTTGATTGGAAAATATTGATATTGTGTTTCAAAGTTGAATTTTCCAATATGAGTAAAAAAGAAAAAAAAAAAGAAGAGCAAAAGAAAAAATTAATGCTCAAGTGTTCTATTTGAAGGTTGTTCAAAAGAAAAAAAAAAGAGAAAAAAATTCAAGTAGAAAAAAAAAAGAATGAGTTCAAAGTTTGTTTTTCACTCAAAGTTCTACATTATCATATTTTTATGAGTGATTATTGTAAGTGTTGGGATTGTTTATGATGATTAAAGTTGTATTTGGTGGTTTTTGTTGGAGTTAGTTATGTTGATGGAGATGTATGATCATCATTTATTTTGATCATGGGTTTATTAGGATTTGGCTCCCTTAATGCATAGCTTTTCTCTCACATAATCCCAAATTTATCCTACCTTTACCCTAGCCTTACATTACAAGATTTAAAGACCTTCCGACCTTGTGCATAGAAGTTATGTAAATGTGAAAGTGTTGTTTATCAATGCAAGTTATGACTTGGCATATTTCGAGTCGACTAGTAGGATGAGCGTTCGTTGTTTTTATACACACGAGAGTGTGAGTTGGGAGGGCATTGTTCACATTAAAAGGGTTGGTTGGAGAGCGATCGAGTACATCTTTTACTCGCCACATAAAATGAGAGTTGAGTGTGTGAGCACTAGTCTTGAATTCTATATACTCTTGTGGTTTGCTCTACTTGACAATTGTTGGGGAGGAAGGGTGATTAGATGAATAAGATTGATTGATGTTGAAGCATGTTCATTAGATTTGCCTTGAATCGTTGGTGTTTGATTTGATTATTGGGGTGAAGTATGTTTTATATGTTCATTGATGAGCTCTTTGCTTAGGGACAAGCAAAGGTTTGGCTTGGGGGAGTTTGATATGTCCATTTTATATAGTGTTTAACCCCCGTCCCTTGGTCGTTATTAGTAGTGTTTTTGGCTCTTTTGGGCCACTTTTATTACTAATTTGTGTTTTCTAGTGTTTTCGTAGTTTTAGTTGTATTTTACAGGAAATTGCACTCTTGGAGCATTTTCCCGGGCTTTATGGATCAACTACGGAAGCTAGAAGGACACGACCACTTTTGGAGCCCAGGATCGGTGAGAGCCGGTGATTAAGGGCTCGGTAATTGGGATCCCGAAGTATTCGGACCGAGTGTTCAAGACCCGAAGAGGAAATTCGGATTGGGCCGAGAAATCAAGCCCAATCAAAGTCCGAGCCTCAAAATGGAGCAAGGGCCTGATCGGGTAACCTCTAGCACGATCCGGCGCGGCGCTGCTGGTGCTGTGTGTGGCTATAAGCGCGCCCGATCGTGCGAGCATCTAGCACGATCTGGCGATGCTGCTGGGAAGGAACGCGAAGAAAAAGGCGGGCCCAATCGGGCGGCCCTTCGCCCGATCGGGCGCGTGTTTTTATGTAGCCCGATTAGTTTAGTTTTAATTTTTGTTTTAGGAAACGTTTAAGTACAATTTTTGTACGGATTTTTAGATTACCTTCTTTCTTAGACTTTCTCTCTCTACTTAGAATTTTTCTCTCTCTTAATTCTTCTCTCAACTTTTATTCTTAATTGTTTCCATTAATTCCAGATTTCTTTTTGGTAACAATTTCTTCCCTTTTAATTTTAGCTATTGTAGGCGTCGTTTGAAGTGCGCCTACGTTAAAAGCATGTGGTGAATATGCTTGACACTCATAGGAAGTAGGAATTGACATAGTACGATTAGGGACAAGGAAAGTAGGGAGCCTCCAACAAGTTAATAAGGAACTTGTAAACCGTTCACGGATCATCAAAGGCAACCACGATAAGGGACAACGATAGGCAACAACGATTGACTCGTGAAGGTTACACCCCATTCATAATCCATGAGATTACTAACTCCATATGGTTCGGAACCACGAAAGGAGGATCGGGGATGATGGTACGAAGTGAGTCATGGAGTCACATTCGCCCGTATTGGCCTCTACTCGATTCTTATAGTGAAAAATGATTCCTGCGATCTCAAAGGCATACAAACAAAATATTCAATTTGCTCCAAAATATTATTAAGCTAAATTGGTTGAATATTAATGCAACACATAATTCTAAAATATTGTGATCACTTGAATTAATAACAAGATTAAAAAGGAACCTAAACCGGTTGTCCAAATTATCTGATTAGGCATGATTTTCAATTACATATTCCCTTTAAACATGCAATATGGTGATCAAAATAAATATAATAGAACAAACATTAATATTAAAACCAATTTAATCACAATTCCAACAACATAAAATCGTTAGAAAAATAATAATAATAAAAGGAACACGATCCTTACTTTGATTCTGTTTGTTTGCAACTACAAAATAATAAACGAGTTAGTAACTTCAAGGAAATAATAAAACAATAACTAAATTAGATTAAATGAAATAATGTTGATTTTGGGGCCAAACCCTCAAACAGTTCTACCTTTCACGCCTTGGCTTAAGGACAGAACCTCGAGTAAAATATGGACTCCTTTGAGTGCTTGAAGAAGGAATTTTGAAGTGAAAAGGGTAGGCTAGTGTTTAGGCTAATAGCATAGAAGAGAGAAAATAAAAATAATAAAATTCTCGGTGCCCCGTACATTAGAAATGAGGGGGTATTTATAGGGAAAATGTGCTGAGGGAGCACACGGAACCCTAAAATGATAAAAACCCTAAAAAAGTATCCCGTGACACGGTCAGACTGTACCGTGACACGGGAAGCCCCACCGTCAGACGGTACACTTTCCCGTGACACGGTACAGTTTTGGAGTGACGCGGGAAATTTCCTGAAAAGGGGATGAAAAACGCGTTAAGGGTTTACGTGGAAAGGACACGGAACGTCCTGTGTCACGGTAGACCTCCCGTGTCATGGGAAGTCCCACCGTCAGACGGGAAGGATTCCCGTGACACGGTGGCAGTCTGCCGTGGCGCGGGAATTTCCAGTCCATTTTCCGTCTAAATTCATTTTTAACCCTAACTTCTTTCAGCTTTTTAAGTGCCGATTGATAATTTCGGGCTTTTTCTGGCTTTTATTATTCGGGCTAAACTAAGAAAATAATTAAATAAAAATAAATAAAGAGTTTGGGCCAGAAATAAGTAATAAAACAATAAAATAAAAAAGGTTTGGACTTAAAATAAGTTGGGCTGAAATTAAAACTATGCTTTAACCAAACATCAAGACTAATCCATGGACCGTTCAAAAGTATGAATTTAATAAAATACGATTTTTAAGCACTCTCGGGATTAAATACTAAACCCGACCAATAGTGGCGGTGAAAGGTTGTTCATCATCGGGTTTGGTTTTGGGGAGACATTTTTAGGTGTCTACAGCTATTTTACTTGTTTCTTTGATTATGCTTTTATTTAATTATTTTATTAGTTTAGTTATGATGATGTGTGAGTAATTTCATTCTAGGGTTTATGGGGATCTATAATTAATATGAAGGGATAGTATGTTATTATTGATTATTGATATTGCATGTTAATTTCTTATTGAATTGTTTTAATTCTTTGCAATTAGATTATGAATCAAGCAGATGTAATTTGATTGTGAATTTTTAGCAATATTGAGTTGATGAATCGAGCAGATGTTAATTTAATATTAAAGGCTATTTTCAATAGGAACTTAGATTTAGTAAATTGCGAGAGCCTGTTAGATCTATGTTGATTAATAAATTGCGAGAGCCTGTTAATCATGTTATTTGTGCATTTTTAATTATTAATTACTTCGTTCTATCCTGGAATATTAATTGTTGGTAAACCTGTGACCCTAGGCTTCCTTATTATTGTTTCTTTTCTCCCTAAACTTATTCTTCGTAGTATAGAATTTATTCCCAAAAATATTGGTTACTTAGATAATTTAGACTATAATAATTAATTAGGAGTAAAAAGATTTGTTTCCCTGTGGAGTTCGACCCTACTTCCCTATCTACTTTAGTTAGAGGACTTAGGTAATTATTTTTTTGATTAGGGGATACGACTTTACCCT